ATATCTGCGTGTGGTAGAATTAAATCAAATAAATACATATTAAAACAACAACAAAACTCGATTTACAACTTATTTCTTATTGTCAGTTACACCAGTGTCTGTCCATACCTAGATGAAGCTAGAATACGTACAATACGCCAACTAGTGAACTAAAGCTGAGAATAACTTTGATGCTCATACAAGAAAGTGTGTAACATAGTGTGCGGAATACACCACCACCCCAAAACACAACATTATTTATGTGGTACATCATGAAGCACACTATGTTGTGTAAGACCACATTACCACATAGTGTGTAATACCACACTGTGTCAGATTATATAAGAACATTGCCAAACACGGAACATTCAGCTGAATTAAACTCATTCCATAGAAAATGGACCTTTTTCGAAAACAATACCAAGACAACAGCCGGATATAATGCTACAATCATGACCAGCGATGCTGAATATTGAACCCGAAATGTTTACAAATATAACTTTCAGCACATGTATTATTTTACTTTACCTTAATAGAAAAGTCTAAGCACGCCAGATCTACAAACATAGAATTAATTCATTATATAGCCTACATTCTATAAAATAAAGTAATAACACACATTTCTTTTTACATTTTAATAAAGTCTTATACATTGCTTTGTTTTTGCTAGTAAGATTATTTGTGTAACTTGCCATACTTTTGGAGTTTAATATCTTTGTTGCTATAACTTGAAATATGATTAACGCCTCAACCTTTAGAACCCTGGGATTTTTAAGACTATTCTATCCAAGTCGAGATGCGGCTCTTGAATGTTCCAGCAGACACATTTGTTCACGTATAGTTTTTGCTATTAATAATCTATATATATAATTCTCTTCTGGGAGACGCTAAAAAAACAAGCTGTAAGCGCGCTCCCTACCACCCCACCCCTACATGGTCTGGTGAGCTTTGGTTCACGCTAAATGTTTACAGTCGTATAGCCGGGTTTAGTGACGGTTACTAGGGGCAGATAATTTAGTTTGAAACGATTTTAAACTTAGGGGAGGTAACTAAGAGGAGGCTGTTTTCACGGGGGTGGGGTAGGGGGTGGGGAAAGGGGGGTATCGTCCTTAACGGGCTACTGATAGTGTTTTAAAGCAAATATATTAAGTGGCAGCATTGGTACTGTTGGATTCACAAATTATGAAAAGTAGAAAATAAAACAACTAAATAGCGGCGTATGATACGCCGCGGGTCGGCTCGTATATACTAATTATATAAGGTCTGAGTGATGGAAGAGATGGGCGTGATCATAGTAGGGGGTATTGCCCTCACCCCGGGATCAGTGGCGTAGCTAGGATTTTTGGGCCCCTATGCAAAAAGTGTTAGTGAGCCCCACAGAGGCGTAGCGACCCTTCCCGGCGACCGGGGACAAACTTTCGATTGGCACTCCCACTCAGACTTTCGAAAAAGGGCCCCTATTTGCCTTGGGCCCCTATGCCTTGCTTACGCTAGCTTTACGGTAGCTACGCCACTGCCCGGGATTAATTCATGAAATAGTACCGTTGTGAAGTGCAGCATAGTAAAGTTTCAAATTCAGAGATACATCGGCACAATCTGTTTACGACATGCACTTTGATGGTCTCGAACACAAGTCTTACAGTAAATATAAATTATTCTGGCTTGTTATTTTTTGAAGCCTGTCATCCTGAAAACAGTCTTCATTCTCAATGTGTGGCCTAACCAATGTCATGATTTTCGATCTTAATTGTGATGCTAGATGGGACTTCCTCCAACACAATTAAGTATACTTGTCAGCGGCACTTAATGGTGTCATCCCCACAGAGGCGTAGCGACCCTTCCCGGGGACAAACTTTCAATTTTCGATTTGCACCCCCCTCAAACTTTCGATTTGCACCCCTCCCCCCTAAAACTTTTGATTTCCACCCCTCCCCCCAAACTTTCGATTTGCACCCCCCCCCCTCAAACTTTCGATTTGCACCCCCCTCCTTAAACCTTCGATTTGCACCCCCCCCCCCCCCTTCAAATTTTTGGAGCGCGAGGATTTTTAATTTAGCAACCATGGGCGTTTTTCCAACCCTACTACGCCGACCCCTATACGGTCATTTAATTAACGCCTTAAAATTATTAATAACCAGACTTAATTCTTCAGCCATTTCTAGGAATTAATCAGACATATCAGTAACGCCCTAGCGTGTTGTAAATTGACTAAACTAACACAATGGCAATCCTAAAGAAACTTGAACTCGAATTCGAACACAAGACTTTCGGAATAGCAGCGGTGGCGTAGCGAGGTCGGGTGTCACACGGTGCGGCACTTTATGGTGTCACCCCCCCCCCCCCCCCAGACGCGTAGCGACCCTTCCCGGGGACACACTTTCAAGTTTTCGATTTGCACCCCCCACCCTCAAACTTTCGATTTGCACCCCCCCCCTCAAGTTTTTCTCTATATATTTTGCTATTTTTTGTCTTGTTGTCACCCCCTAAATGGTGTCACCCGGTGCGGTCCGCACCCCCCGCCCCCCCCCCCCCTCGCTACGCCCCTGGATAGCAGTTTAGCTCTCTACCACTATGGGCTGTATGCCTAATTTGAAATAAAGAGATTCCGCTCTAACATCTTCATCGTTCTTAACCTTTTTGGTTTACATTTAAGGAGTCTTAGCACAAGATGAATGTCGTTGACGTACTGTTTGGTTGTCTCTAGATTTCCAAGTTCAACCTTCATAAAATGACGGCTTGGTCTAGATCGCTAGTCTGCCAACCCCAAAATAGAGCTTTACTTCTGCAATTTAAAAAAAAAATTGTATATATATATATATATATATATATATATATATATATATATATATATATATATATATATATATATATATATATATATATATATATATATATATATATTGACCTTATTAATCACTATTTTTTTTAAATTGTTTTTTTCATAGTACCATTTCCCCCAGTACCTTTAACTTATAAATTAAAAACCCTACGAGATTTCAGAGTTGGTTTTCGCTCATCAACTCGCTTTAGTTATTTATGTGACATGTCATACTGATCAGGGGAGTTAACAAAGGCAGTCACTCGCTGTAAAAAATATTGTAACAGTAGTGCCCCTTGTTCTAATGTTACCCTGTGTGAATAGTGAGTTCAAATTTCAGTCATCTGGATACCAACCAGAATGGTCCAAATAAAATTCATCCACCTTGTGTTTCAACCGACTTGTGTTGTTTATCAGACATCGTTTATCCTTTAAAATCAATACCACGAACATTACATATAGCAATGTACAAATACGTCCTTCTTTTGATTTCGGACAAACGCAGGCCTATGAAGAAATAGTGTGGTCAGCACTGTATACGGCCGTCTTAACTTTCCTTACTGCGAGTCAAGTACTCATCAGAGCTGGAAGGCCATGAGGTAGTTTACGGGATCCGAACTCAAAACTATCATGTTAGCTATCTCCGAACAGTACTGTGAACAGGTAACTCTTGGCCCTTGAATGATCGAATTTTTCTAGCACTTGATTGTGGATACTATCAAAATGTCTGGACTTTAAAATGTAAGTCACAGCATTGAACTCATTGATTTCCTTGGTATATAATCATATACTTTAGAACGGATTTTTTCATAAAGTTATAATTTACTTAATAGGTTAAGTAATTGTTGTATCATAGCATTTAAAACTCGATACTTGGGTTTAGCCTGCCGACGACTAAGCTTGTCGTAATTTGAACAATTCTCCGCTAATAATTACTTACGTACTATAATCAAGGTTCCAATGTAAACGTTAAATAGTATTTATAAAATTATATTAAACTTGTGTTTAAAACTCTTTAGTGATGTTTATATATATATTTATATGGAAACAAATCAACAATTATGCGCTTCTAAAAAATTAAACACAGTATTAGACATTCAGAGACAAACAAATAAGATATAATTTATAAAATCAATAAACAAGACATTTGTATCGTGTTTGATATAGTTTTTTTTTTCTTCGATTACAGGCAATTTGGTATCAGTAGAGTTGTAATGTTGTTTGATGTTAAGTTAAAGTAAATGATGAACACGATCTAAATATATATTTAGACTTATCCCAGAGATATTATTATTTTGTTTTTTTCTCGCTATTACTTTATAAAAAAACGTATTCTACTGTGATAAATTAGGATTTTACTACACCAGCTTTTTAATTCAATTATTAGTAAGATTTTATTTTGAAAATATAAACTGACAATTGTTCCATCTTTTGTGCAAACGAATTGTACGTATGCGTTAATTTATATCTATTTCTTCGAAGCTTTTTGAAGCGTTTTTGTTTTGAATATCGAGACAGGTAACTTAACTCATCAGAGATACATAAACATGTAAATCACCCCTGGCGCAAACCAGACAGTGTTGCAAAATATGAACTTTACATAGAGATGAGAGGGTGTGGTTGAATGGTAGAGCATTCGACTGCCAACCCTAAGCTCTTGAGTTTTGATCTCGTTTTCGAGTCAATAGGACGTTCCGAGTCCACTAGAGTGGGTACCTGATTAACGTTAGGGAAATTAAAGGTGGCTTTGCATAATACGGACCTCACTATACCTACCTTGATGAGAGAGAGAGAGAAATTGAAACAGGGAGAGCGAGAGAGCAAAATAAAAATGTGTGTTTTAAAGATAGAAAACTTGTCTACTACATTGAAATGAAATTGTATGAACTTTATAAAAAGTGAATTTATTTCTAAACAGATATATACCATTATTTTCGCATTAATTTAGACGCATTTCTCAAAATAATGTATCAACTTATTTTAAGATGTACAGTATACTCGAATAAACGTTCTGTTTTTATTTTTTTCATTTGTCAGGTACATTTGGCTGATTCCAACATCTGATAAAATCTCGCACATGTTTGTGTACTGGTGTGTGTACTTAGCAATAGCCAATCAAGGTTTTACACCTACATCAACAGAAATCTGTACACGCTCCTATAATACGTGTTATCGAATAATTTTTTTTTACAAATATTGAAATATGGCAGACACAGATGTTTTGGGACATGAGGAGGAAATACAGAACTTCGTAAACGAGACAAAAGAATTCTTGTTTTCCAACTCTTTACTGCGTACTTTGATCTTTGCTCTAAGCGTCATCCTCCATGGGGTGATATCTCTAGCAGGCGTCTTGTCCAACAGCGTCAACGTGCTCGTCTTCATTAGACTTGGTCTCAAGGACAGCATGAGTGTTGGACTTTGGGCGCTATCTTTTACAGATCTTATAGTATCTACGTTGCAGTTAGCATCTTGTGTATGCTATTGTGTAGCTTATGTCTATCCCAATAATCCTATTAGCCCTTGGTCAATCGGAAGTTTTATCTTTGGATGGGCTAGGTCAGTAGCGTATTACATATCATGTTGGATAACTACAATCATTGCTTTAGAAAGATGCTACTGTGTTGTGGCGCCTTTTCTTGTGAAGCTTGTGTTTACAAAATCAAGGTGTGTTGTATCGATCACATGCATCTACCTTTTCCACGTTGGATTGGTGATTCCAGTGTTTATCTATGACCCGTTGGAGTGGGTACCAGCAACTCTTGGTGAAAAAGATGCCAACGGCAGCCTCATTTTTTTCATGCAGTTTCAAACTACTTTCACGAAGCTCGGCGCGAAATGGGACACTATCAATTCATTAGCTTATGGAGTTACCCTTTCATTAATCTCTCAAGGTTTGCTACTTTTCTGTACCTTCTGGATGGTCTTCTCGCTGAAAAACTCTTCGAAAATACGAAAACATTCAGAAACGAAACAAAACAGAGAAAATCATCAAAATTCGGACAATCTTTCAGCAAGGGAAAGACGACTTGTTAAAGTTGTAATTCTACTGGCTATCATACAGACTGTTTGCAGCGTTCCCAGGTTTATGGTCACAGCAGTGTATTACCTGGTGCCAGGGTTTGTTCTCGGAGCTTACGATAATATATCGATTCTAATGTGGGAATGGTCTTACATCTTCAGCAGTGTTTGCTGTGCCAGTAATATTCTTGTGTACCTGAAGCTTAACGCTAATTTTAGGCAAAAAGTTAAGGCGATGTTTGAAAATAGTACTTCTTAGACAGTAAATGTAATTGGTAGATTGAATAAATACATGGTTTTATTTTTTAGAGTTAACAATTTTAAATTGTTAGTTTTAGAAATAACTAGACTACCCGTCATCCCTTGGATAACTGTGGGTTTCGGGGGTCATCCATAAAAAACATTACGTCTGTCACTTATCGTCACAAAAAACCAGATCTACATTAAAAAAGAGTTGTTTTTTTTTCTTTTTAAAACACCGATTTTGGCTGAGCATGGGTCTGACCACACTATCCCTTTATATACTGACAGGTGACCTACTCAACTCAACTTCACCGTTTTTATCGTTTAAAAAAACAATTCCAGCCGAGCATGTCTCTCACCACACTATCCCTTCATATGCTTAGGACAAACAAACAGATTAACTCTACTTCACCTGCCCTGTATCCCACCAAGTTCAGATAGGCAAATTTATCATTCACATCCAAAAAAAAAAAATTGAAATTTTTTTTTAATATTGACGTGATGTATCTAGAACCTCTCCCACCCGCATGAAAGCCTATTACACTAACAACTTAGCTATCTAGACTCGTGACGTAATTGATGTTTTTTTATGGTATAATTTAATACTTTGAGTCTCCTTATGCAACTTGATTTATGCGTATATGCCCTGTCTAGAACTAGATCTAGTAACTTTCAAATTAAATTTTATCTTAAATTAGCCAATTCCACAGCTTAATAAACAAAGATTTATTTAAAACGATGAAGGTCTAAAATAGTTTAGTATAGAAACTCATTATTATCTAGATCTAGATAGAATTATCAATATATTCTACGACTGGTTTAATTAAGGTTAGTTTTTGCAGTAGCCTAACTCTTGCTAGATCTAGATCTAGATCTAGATCTAGAGAGATAAACCACTTGCATTCTAGAAGCTAAAAAGCAAAGATTTATATCAAATATATAAGAATTAAAATAGTTTAATAAAGAAACTAAAAAATGCATTCTGATTTTAAAATGGATTGTATTTTTAACTAATTAATGATGGTTTGACCTATATTCTAGATCTAGTTCTATAAATAACTTTCTTCGACAGCTTATCTTTTTAGTTTTTAGATCTAGAGCTAAAGAAATTTATTGAAAAATTAAATGAAAAAGACAGTTGAAAATGGATATAAGTGTTGAAACTTAACAAATACAGCAAACGGACGATTTGTTAAAGTTATAGCCGACAGAATATTAGCTTTAGAACGCGTTAAACATTGGAATGGGAACACAATCTTCTTCGATAGAAGCCGCCATTGTTGATGTAAAAAGTAAACAAATCATGTGACGTCACTATTCAGTCAAAGTAAAGCCACATTTTAAAACATTTATAATTAAATAGACTACCCGTTATCTAGTTAGATAACTGTGGGTTTCGGGGGTCATCCATAAATGACATCACGTCTGTCAGCACTTATCGTCCCAAAATAACCAGACCCCACATTCAAAAAGAAGTTTCTTAAATTTTAAAAAACTCTACTAAACTCTACTTCACCTGCCCAGTGTCCCACCAAGTCTCAGACATGTTTGTATTTTAAAAAAAAGATTCCGGCGGAGCATGGCTATGACTACACTATCCATTCATATGCTGAGAACGTACAAACAGATGAACTCACCTTCACCTGCCATGTGCCCCGCGAGGTCCTGATAGTCAACTTTATCATTCACATCTAGGCCTTAAGAAAAACTAATTGAAAACATTGTTGTAAAAAAATAAACCGGGAGTGATCTCCTCTAAACTTTCTCGCATATTCTTATATAACTTGGAATATAGACATGATTTTTAATTACTTAATTTTTAAAAAATAGAATATAATCTCATAGAAAAAGAATTGCGCACCAATCGAACGCCAAAACAAAATGTGCATAATAGTGCGCAATATTATTAGTACTTTATAAATGTACATGCGGTTTTTTTTTAGAAATCGGAAATAGCGTAAATTAGTACTTCCGTTCAACGGAAATTACTCAAAATTTGACAGAAGGTAGAGAATTAGATCTGTTACTTACAAATGAAATTTAATTTATCTATCTGAAATAGTACTCAAGTTATAGGTTTTTGAAAAATTCAAAGTTGAAAAAGTACCACTTCCGGTTATCGGAAATCGCTAAAAAGTAGATCAGGATGTACGATATTGATAAAATACTTACATAGGACATTTCATCAACCAAAATGTTACGGTACTCAAGTTATCGTGTTTACACACAGACAGACACACAGACATAAGGACAAGATTGCAAAATTATGTTTGTCCGTATCAGTGAAGTGCAAAACGTCGAGATTTGTAAAAATCTCGATTTTTTTTTTTGCACGATTACAAGACTTTCTCTATACTTCGTATATACGAGAAAGTAATAAATCTTTTTACTATTAGTAAAGTCATTGTTCTAAACTTTTATAATTAATGGGGTTAATCTACCTATGAATATATCAATAAATTAATTAACGGCTTTAAATTAGTTTGTAATTAACAGTGTGTTTAAGAAAGAACAATGTTCTCCACCCAAAATCCTGTTTTACAGCTCTACAGATAATACAAATTCTCCCCAATAACAAATCAGACAAACAAACAAACAAAAGAATGAGTCATCAAACATGTAAACTTGAGTTTCACTAGTATACTAGACTACCCGTCATCCGTTGGATAACTGTGGGTTTCGGGGGTCATCCATAAAAAACATCACGTCTGTCACTTATCTTCACAAAAAACCAGACCCTACATTCAAAATGAGGTATTTTTTTCCAAAATAAGTATAGCTTGTAACTTAATCACGACCCACTATAATAATAGAAATTTCGTTCATATTTTTCACATGCATTTGTAGGCTTTAAGTAGTGAGTTGTGTCTCTTAGTTGACTGTTCCACGAGTTGGATTATATAACATTTTAATTTAACCAACTATATTGTGACTCAAAAATGTTATAAAGCTTTTAAAAATGTATTAATATTACTTGAACGAGAAAAATGGCCCGTTGAGGAAGGATACAACGGGCACTAGGTTGATAGCGTTGTCTCTTTTTTCTAAACCAAAACTAAAGTCTCCACCTTAACCTCAAATTGAATCGGAAACGACAATTTACGTTGAAAACGGATTTTTATCAAGAATCGTCATTTTAATCGGATTTAAGCTTGATCTACACTTAGTTACCGCGCATTGATACTGAATACTGTCGTACCACACCCCTAAGCTATGCACCCAATCTCAATCATGACAAAAGTCGCATTTAGAGTTTCTTTTAGGCTACTCTACTTCGGGATAGGGGGCTCCGCCCCGCCCCCCCCCCCCCTTTCGGGGAGAAAAAAGTCTGAAAGAAACACTGGGCGCATTTGTAGATCATACAAACTAAAGGAGGAGCCTGGGAGGGGCTTCGCCCCTACCGGAAGAGATGCACGAAAGAAACTGTGCACGCAAAACACTTTTTAGATAAGAAAAAGTTCCTCCCTCCGGTGAGGAAAAAGTCTGATAGAAACACTGATGTTGCGCTTAGCCACTACCCGAAGAATTGCATGAAAGAAACTCTACACGCAAAACGCTTATAAGATTAGACACAATAAATATGCCTTAATGTGAGTCTTTTTATTATAAAGTATCGATGACGTCATTTCTTTTAGGTTAGGAGGAGGAGGCGGGAATGGGATTTCGCCCCATCCCGAAGAAATGTATGAAAGAAACTCTTCACGCAAACCACTTAGATTAGACAAAGTTGCCTTTTTATTCAATGTTTACTCGAGAATCAATGACGTCATATTACTGTGTACACACTCCGGCTTGATACTAATTTCTACTATATGCTCCAATGTGACGTCATGTTTCGTTTTCATTTAACTATGCATGTTTTTAATTAGCTTGTGTTTTCTCTATAGCGTTCTTGTCAGATACATAGATACACTGACAGCGAAACTATTCTATATATACGAGAAAAATGGCCCGTTGAGGAAGGATACAACGGGCGCTAGGTGGATAGTGCTGTCTATTTTCTCTAAACTAACCCCCCCCCCCCCCACACACACACACACACACCCCAAAACATGTCTACCGTCCCACTCAACGAAATATAATTATATACTTTTTCCAGTGTCCGCCCCCTCCCAGAAAATTCTACCCCCGCCCCCGAAAATTTCAAGTACCCCCACCCCTCTCCGGCGAGGAAAAAGTCTGACAGAAACACTTGTCGCATTTGTAGATCATACAATCTAAAGGAATAACCTGGGCGGGGCTTCGCCCCAACTGGAAGAGATGCATGAAAAAAACTGTGCACGCTAAACACTTTTTAGATTAGAAAAAGTTCCTCCCTCCGGGGAGGAAAAAGTCTGAAAGAAACACTGGTGTCGCGCTTAGCCACTCCCCGAAGAATTGCATGAAAGAAACTCTGCACGCAAACCACTTTTTAGATTAGACACACGAATTAGGCTGTAATTTTATTATAGAGTATCGATGACGACATTTCTTTTGAGTTGGGGGGGGGTAGGCTTTGACGTTCTTACGCGGGGGATGGGCTTCGCCCCTACCCGAAGAATTTTATGAAAGAAACTCTTCACGCAAACCACTTTTAAGATTAGACAAAGTTGGCTTTTTAATTTAATGTTTACTAGAGAATCAATGACTTCATATTACTGTGTGCACTCTCCGGCTGTAGACTAATTTCTACTATATGCTCCAATGTGACGTCATGTTTCGTTTTCGTTTAACTATATTTCTCGTTAGTATCAATATTCTTGCCACTTACTTTGTTTTAATAAGTAGCTAATCTTACTGAATACCGTAACCTCATGCACAGTCTAGTGTTTACCGTTCCTATTAAATTGTGTTAGCTTTTTAAAGGTCGTAAACTGTGTTTATCGAATTGTCATGTAGTCATCCGACTTGTTTATATAAGTCCAAAATCTCTATAAAATAAATCACAGCTTGTTTTTTTTTTTACATTTGCCTGTCTCTATACATTATCTCTCAACAAGTATATGTGTTGCTCAGTTGAAAGCTCGAATACAGTGA